TCTCTCAGTTGCATCCATGATTGTGATATCTGGCCCTTGAATTAAAAGACTTATATTGTTCATGTGGTTAAAAATGTCTGCCAGGTAAGCCAATTTATATGAAAAATCTTTTCTTTTTTTTTTAAATATTCGAAGAGTGGGTAATCTTTTTCTTCTAGAAAAAGTCATACTTCTGTTTTAACATGTCACCCTCTCAGACTATGTAATTCCTATTCATGCGATCTAAAAATCCCCCATCGCCTAGGGTGGCGCCAGTAGGGGCAATTGCACCCCTGTCGGGCATGGTCAGCCCCCCATCGGGAAAATTTTAAAGTCTCCTCAGGAAAATAGTCTGGTTACACTTTTTCTAAATTATATCAAAAATTCATTTACAAATGCCTAATAAAAAATTTTGCAGTTGACTTTTTATTTATTTAAGAATTAGTAACAAAAATTGGAAAAATATATTGTAAATTCTATGTAATTGTAGTTTCACTGCACTACTCATAACTTTGCCCATACATTGTTAAACTAGAGACCGGATGCGATTAGACATGGGTGAAATTAAAGTATAATAATAAATTTAATTTTTTTAAAATTTTTTCATCTTTTTTTTTTAATACTTATGAGGAAATTCATTTACTTATTCGAATTCAAGATTTATATTTTAATCAACGCAATAAATATGTAGTCGGGGGAAAAGAAAAACAGTAACAAAATATTTTTAACTTATTATTTTTTTATCATTTTCTTAGTAGTAAAAAGATTGTTGATTGATTCAGAAAAACAATTAAACTGTTCGTATTCAATATCTTAAAATATATATTAATCAACATAGCAGATTCTCATCGACTTATTTTATGTACAGTGCATGAAATGGAAAACGAGAACACCTTGATTACTTTTGATTTAATCATATTTTCACGTACAAAGAGTCAATACCATATTTTAAGTTACGAAAATGAACAGAAAAGCACATTCTCTTCTGGATAAACATACAAATTTGTCTATAGTTTTAGGTTTTTAATTTTCAAAATGCGGAAACAGCCGCAATCTGGAAGATATGATCTGAAGTTATGGCAAAAAGAGAGTTGGAAAGTTTGGGTCCTTTAATTTTAACTTCACTCTTCGATTACAGCCCATTATCTCGGGAACTTTTTGAGTGTATTGATAAATGTTTGCATAGAATTACAAAAAACATTTTATGCGCAAATTTTTAAGTAAAAATAATTATTTGTTATTAGTTTATTAAATAATAGTAAAATATATTGAATTGTATGTTCTACATATTTTCACATCCTTTTAATTTCAAAATACAAACTTTGAGAGCAATCGATCAATTCGTTTCCGAGTTCAAATTTTAAAAAAGTCAGTTTGCTTAAAATTTTATTTATCTCGAATTATTCAACCGATTTTATTCAAATTTTGTATTTCACAATTTAAAATTACCTTCCATAAAATTATATATAATTTTTTATATCTTGCTATTTTATGTTATCCGTCGTTGAACAACCGACCCGATTTTCGGGCTTACGACTACTAATGTTCAACACCATAGCCTTGTAATTTTGAACCCAATCCAGAAGACAAGGAAACTATTGGATAAGTACCCACAGAGATTTTGATTTGTTATGGGAACATGGAGAACTTTGCTTCTCGACAGATTTAGCGTGCATCAGTCGCCATTTACTACATGGGGATTTCAAAAATCGGGATTCAGAATTTTTCCAACGCATATTATAAATATAAAAAAATATTAAATATTTTATAACTATTTAAAACTATATTTTTTGCATGGCATTACCTTTGGAAGAACGAATTTTTGCAATTGTATGAAAATTTTTTCGATTCAATCAAAAAGCAAAACGTTTTTAAGATAGGACGAGATTGAGATATTATCATTGAACTATTATTTCGAAGCTATTACTATGCAATTACTATGAAATTACCAAAAGAGGACAAAATGAAAGATGTTTTTATTTATTTATATCTGATATTGAAAGTGAACATCATTTCTCCTTATTTTCCTCTTTCAATCATGATCCTTAAAATTATCAAAGCAGATATATATATATATCGATAACCACCAGCTAAATTATCTTTCTATATAAAAAAGAAAAATTTTTTTGCTATTATCAGCAATATTGACATATACTTCAGATGAATGTACAGTGCGCAAAAAAATAATTTTAATCTTCAGTTCGAATCTTCATGTTCTAGGATTCATTCTTAATGGTTCGAGAGGGTGACATCAAATATACTAATTAATTAGTCCAAACGATAGGTTAGGAAAGTAGACATGAAAACGTTATCCGATTAAACATAAATTTTTTCGACGGAGCCCCCAAAATATAGTAGTTTCAATCTAGAAATATTGTTTTAATAGTTTTTTTTCAGGAACTTGCTTAAAAGGACGCTTTAATGTTAACTTTAGTTTTTGCGTATTTCAATCTTTTTTAAAAGATAATTTCATGCAAAATGAAACTTTTAGTAAACATTTATTAATACTCTATTTAAGGGAAATCGAGAAACTTAAGAAATGTAAGGTGTACAATTTTTTTATCATTTGCAATTTTAAATGTCAAAATACAAAAGTTAAGCAAAATCGGTCAATTAAGTCCTGAGAAATAAAATAAAAAACCTCTTATTTTTCGAAATTTGGTCCCCTAACTTCTTAAATTTTAGTGTTCATTTTTTGTGACTTAAAATTCGTAACTATGAAAGCAAATTTAAATCGTAGAGGAAAGAATGTTTCGCGTTGACAAATGGTAAACAATAATCAATTAACCGTGTTATTCGTTGCATGCAGGCGCATGTCAGTATGTAAAAAGCTGTGGCAGGGCGAAACAGAAATCATGGTAGAAAGGGTGCTTTCAGCTTTGCAGAGAAACGAAAATATAGGCAGACAAACAGCAGCCATGCGTGGCAATTTTTTTTTGAAAATGAAAGTTAGTTAATATTCGTTTCTCGGACGCAAATTAAAAATTTGTAAATTGAAAAATAATTACAAATTTAAGCTATATTGTTTGAATCTTATATTTTAAGCCGATGGACTTACTCTTTTTCTCAAATGGAGAAATTAGCATTTTGCCGGACATAGATGTTCACTTTAAAAGAATCTTTGAAAAGAAAAAGGAATCGCAAGGAGAAATTTTAAATGTCTCTTTGTATTTATTTGCTATATATATTAACATCGAGTCCCCTGATTACAATAGCCTTTTTTTTTGTTCGTAAAATTATACTATGTAACAATTTAAAAAAAATTCGAATTTTAAAATTTCATGGGCATAACTATTTCGAACTTAGTTAAAAACGGGGTATGATATTTTTAGATAGAATACGTGGATGCAAAAAATGTACTTAAAACTTTATTTGCAAAACATTTAAATGATTCGAAAGCCAATTGATGCATATAAAAATAACATTTTATATCAAAATATTCTTTAAATGTTTTGTTAAATGTGCATGAAATTTCAAATTTTTATTATCGAATAATTTTTGCGTTATGAGAGTAAGAAGCGTAGAAATTTTTTGAAATAACGGTTACTGCTACAACTATTTTTCTTCATTACAGAAGTAATTTTTACAATTACAATGTATGGTAAATTGCACCATACAGCGCAAAATATATCGATAACAGAAAAAAAAATAGATTTAAATTTACATTAAAAGGAATCTGCACATTATGGTATCAATATTAGTGATTTTAGATTCCTAGAAACACAACTGAAAAAAATGTACAGTATCGTGAGAAAAAAATGTAAAGTATAAAATTCGTTTTAATTTAAATATTTTGAATTAATTTGTTTGAGCCCCCCTGTCGAGGGAGACTTGACCACTTGTCGGGCAAAGTCTGGCGGCATCCTTGCCCATCGCATTTCGTATCAACAATAACGAGATTTAAAAATCACCCCTCGTGATTCTTAGTCATGAGATTTAAAATCACAAATTGCGATTCGTATTCTGGCGTTTAAAATATTATAGGTTGTTACTCTTTCTTGTAATTCAAAAATCATATAACGGGATTCATATTCATGTGATTTAAAAATTACAGCGCGATTCATATTAACTTGTTTGAAAACTTATACGTTGTGAGTCTTCATCTCGCAATCTAAAAATCACACATATCGATTCATATTCACGCGATTTAAAAACCACACATAGCGTTTCAATTTGAAAATTGCACATAACGATTAAGTATCAAAAAGTAATGTACATTTTAATTAATTGATGTGTATTAATTGTAAATAGTAAGCGTCAAGTCAAAAAAAGTATATCTTGATAGTTTTTCATTATTAAGGAAAATAGTTCCTTCAAAATTAATGTTTTCTTTCCTGTCTCAACCCCTGCTAATTATAATTGATTTAAATAAAATAAATCTTTTAAAGTTGAAATATATTCCTTACTAAACATTGAATCTTATTTTAAACCGATAGGGTTCTGTTTTAATCATTTTTAACTAGAGTTGGCAAGGTTTAGGACAGCATGGATTAATTCGCGGTTTAAACCCTTTGTCAAAAACCCTTTTATTCAAAATTATATTACAATTTAAAAAAAAATATATTGTGAAAAATGAAAGGTTAACAAGAAACAAAATAAAGACAAGTTTTTGTTTTATTTAAAAAGTTTATTATATTATTTTTAATATTGCATTATTTATCCTTATGCAAAAACATAATTATCAGTATCAAGAGCATATTTATTTATATTTAAAGGATAAGGTATTCACTTTTGTTTTTCATTGCATTGTGGAGCTCCAAAAGTTATTCATCTTTTCCCATTATATTATTTTCCTTTAATAAATTAAAGTAAATAATATAAAAAGTTTAAAATATTTATTACTATGTGTAATTATTATGACAGTTTTAGGCAGTTTAGGATATTAAAACCCACGTGTCCTGTCCAAAACCAGTTTAGGACATCCAAAACCCTGTTTTTAACACCTATAAATTGAAAATAGTTAATTGCAGCTGTTAAAAATGTGTGGTGGCTAACTTATACTCAGACTCAATTTGTTAAAATCAGATGAAAGACGAATTGATAATTGTGAAGCAACAAAAAAGAAAAAAAATCACAGAAATTTCATAATGTTGATCTTTTTTTCTTCACATCACCATGTCTGGCTGTCAACTTACAGTTCCATATTGGTAATAATGTGGAGCTAATTCATATAGCCAACTGGGTTCAATAGCTGTTATGTCTCGCATGTATTCTTTTGTACTGTGCAAAACCTCATTAAAAACAACCCTGAAACAAATGGAATCAAAGTATAAATAATTACACTTAAGTCAAATATTTCATTATCGATTTTTAACAATTTTTCTTACTTAATTGAAACAATAAATGTTGCAAATTAAATAATGCTAATTAATCAGAAAAAATAAAAGCCCTAAGTTGCAAACAAATAAAAACAAGCCAATAAAATAAATAAATTCAAATATTAAATGAATATTCATGCAATGATCTCTAAAAGCAGATTTTACAATTCAGGTCTCAGTCAATCTAAAAAGCTTAGTTGTATACTTCCCTCTCCTTAGTTAAAACGTAATGAATGAGTTGGGTTGAGTTTTTACCAGTAAAAACCATGAGAAAAACCTGGTAAATACGATTAACCCATGTTTATTTATTTACAGATATTGTGGTTTGTTATTTACAACTGCTGGGAATATTATTCCATACAAAATTTTCATATAATAGTCAAGAATAATTAGATAATATATGTTTATAGATGTGTGTGTATATCAGCAAGTAACAAACCATTGAACAAGTGATGTGAAGTAAGATATCTCCTAAATTGTAATTGCTAAAATAAAAATTTCACATGAGGCAAATCTTCTCACTATTAAAAATTTAGAAAACTGATAAATGTATTAAATTTTCAATAACAGTCAATAAGAATTAATTAAATATTAAATTTTTGTTTATACATTGCCTTATTGTATTATATCAATATTGTGTACTATAACTTTATTACAGCTGCATTTATGTACAGGAAATAACCAGAAAGTTCAAATAAGCAGAATTTTATAAAATAAAAAAAATAAATGTTAATTTTTTTTATTTACAAAACAACAATGGGAACATTGAAAATATTCAGTAGTGACAATGCAAGGATTTGTTTTACCAGTCTTTTGTCGTTTATAAAATTAGATCAGGAAATTTTTTTTATTTTACTTATTTCATTCTGTATGAGCATTTTTAAGATTATCATTTGTACAAATTATTTTTCATGTTTGAAGAAATCAGAACAACAACAAAAAGGAATATTAATGATGTAGACATTAAGATAAAAATGTTATTACCAGGTCATGAGACCAGGCCACTGACAACATATTAATACACAAAAGTTTTAGTTTAGTTTATCATTAGAAATTAAGATAAAAATGTTATTATCAGGTCATAAGACCAGGCCACTGACAACACATTAGTACACAAACTTTTATAAATTAATTTATGATAAACATAAAAAACAAGCCTCATAGTGTCTGAAATATAAAATCAGGAGAAAATAATACAAAATCAGACCAGACAATTTTAGCACAGAATCCCATCGTTAGCGCCAAGCAAACAACTGGATACGACTATCAATTTACAACAAAAATAAACAATAATGGTGACATCTTTTTATGTAATATTGTTTGTTAATAAAAATGAAATAGTTGAAATAGTAGAAAATGAAATATGACAAGAAAATTCAAAAATGGATTTCGCGATGAAGAATTAAGGGAGCAAAATTATTTATAAAGTAAAACCTCGCTACAACAATATTTTGAGGACCAAATAAATATATCGAGTCCCTACATAATTTGGGGACACAATAAGATTTTTAATGTTACATATGTATTATGCAAAAAATCAATTTACAGAGTGCTAATTATGGTTAAATATTAAAAATATTTGAAATAAATTCAGAAAATAAGATCGTGAACATACCTGAAACCCGTTTTTATTGAAAATAATATGATATTTTTTGTTTTTAATTCATTTTTTTGGCTGTCAAGTCAGCCAACAAAGTATGCATTGATTCCAAAGGACGGAAATGATTATCGTTTGTGAATGGTGCTCCACCCACCCCTTAGAGAAAAAATTCTCAGGTGTGATGCTTGTGGTCATTTGTGACTCATGATCAGCTTTTAACATGAAGGAAATGAAATCAGACATGAATGACTTTTTCAGAGATAAGGGAGACAATACGAAGATTGGAAGCTCTTGGGGTGGTGGTCAGCAGCCAGCCTTCTCGTCAGAAAAGATGGAAAAATAAGAATTTTTAAATTATTTGAAAACCAATAATAAATGGATAAAGTAAGGCTTTTACAGAGGCTTCAGAGAATATCGTGGAGTTGAAAGGACATTAATTCATATACGAGTTGGTCGGGATAAAGGGTGTCATTGTTGTATTGGATATCGTAGTAGCGAGAGTTCTCTGTATTACTTAATATGATAATAAACATGCCAACACTTTACAATTCAACATACGAAAACCATTCTTTTGTATGGTTATGGTATGTTTAGTGTTAGTATGAGAGTTTTTGAAGCGAGTGAACCCGTGAGTGATTAAACTTACCACTTGGGTGAGGAACAAAATGTTAAGACGGATTCCGGATGGATGTGAAGACTATGCTCACCACGCACTGTCTTATACACTCCAGTATAGTGTAAAAATGCAGCATTTGCAAAGAATGCTGAAACTATGCATTTTCTCAAAGAGTCTTTATCAGCTGAAATTGAACAAGTAAATTAAAATTCAGTTTACATGCCCCACTGCATTTCAATGCAAATCGAGTCTTACATAACTTTTGCGTTGAAATGCAGCAAGCAGAACTTGTAAATAAACTAAAATAGTTTTTTTGCAAATTATCAATAATAAATAATTTATGCAATTTTACCTAAAATTCATATAGATTAAAGAAAATGTAACCTATTGCTTATTTCTGGGTCAGATGACATGAAATCAAAGAAAATAATGACATATCTAAAATCTTTTCATTTAAAAGCGCTGATTTATCAAGAAATAGAGATGGAATTGCACATGAAGATTTATTTTTATAGCAAAGGCACAGCTAGAGTTTACAGTGATCCCAGTGTAAACCATCATCCAAGTCCTTGGATGATAGTAGAGCATGTTCTATTTTCCATCCAAGTTTTTTCTCCCTTAACCAATCAGCTTAAGTTTTGTAATGCCAACAAGCAGGCATCAAATTTTGTCATTTTGTTGTCCGTTTTCATATATTTTAATCCAAATAAATTAATCTGTTTGTGTTATAATGATTTTTTTCGAATTCATGTAAGCATCATTTTATGATGTTGAATATGAGCAGGTTTTTCATCCAATCAATCAGTGACATTGCATATTGTTGACGAATCATTAAATTTCTTGGTAAGAAACATTTTTCCAAGTTCACGGATTGCGTAAACAGGCCTTTAATCTTTATACTTATGAACAAGTAAACAAAGTGAAAATATATTTCAGTTTAATATGTTAGTAAATTGCTATTGCTTATAAAATTAGTTGCTAAAAAAATATTTTAAGTGCAAAAAAATATTTTCAGTTCAAAGCTCTTTTATCTTAAAAACCCTTCTGTAAAACTAGTTGCATAGTGTCACCAGTATCTCATCATTATAATAAATAGATTTTCTTTTGTTTCAAAACATTAGAAAGACATTTTATCAAATCACCCAGTTTACAAAATATATTCTTGCATTGAATTAAAAGATACAAAGGATTTTATAGTGTTTTCTACACTAAGAAGACTTGCTACCTTTTTACAATATACAATTACAGGTAATAATCTATTTTGTTCATATCTGGCTTACAAGCATTGGGGGGCTGGCAAATCATAAATGGTATAAATGAAAACAATGAGTAAAATAAAACCAGTAATCATTATAAAACAATTATCTTGTCCTGAACATATTTCTTTGAAAACTTAGTCTCACTTAAAAAGTATTTGAAACTGTTGCATCTTCCTTCCATTAAATTAAATTTTTACCTTGCGATAGATGGGGCAGTGTGCGTACCTGTAAGGATACATAGCTTTTCTCATTAGTCTTTTGTTTGATGTCGTTTTGTTAAGTTTAAAATAAAAAACTCTAAAAAGAATATTGCCTCGCACTGATTCATTTCAAACCAATAGCCAAAAAGATCACGAGACGTAACAGAAACTTTTAATAAAATTTTTTTAAAAAACTAGTGGACCCCATGGCAGGATTTTTTCAAGCTATCTGCGACAAAACTCTCTAGCAGTAATATTTTTCGGCAAGGTACTTTTATTAATAACAAACGTATATGTTACTAATTTAAAGTAACAAAAGCGCTGTGTTTACAATATATAATTTTATATATATATAATTTTTGTTTTAACCCCTTAAAGCACAGATTTTTTGAAAAAAACCGGCCAAAAAATCAATTTTTTTAATGTAAAAAAACACACACTTTTTTAATGTAAAAAAACACACACTTTTTTAATGTAAAAAAAAACACACTTTAGAACACAGAAAAAACACTTTTTCAATTCTCGATTATATTTGAGTGTGAAAAATGATAGCAGCATAAAATACAACTTCGCTCAAATTATCTCGAGTGTGCACAGTTTGGCCTGTTTAGCGCGCTAAAATTAACTCAAGCGCACTTTGTAAATAATCACCACGATAAAAAAAATAATTCAAAGTCATGAAATCCGTAGTAGTAATTGCCGAAAAAAAGATTGACAAAATCACGCTAATCGGACTCATCAAAAAGGGATTACTTAATTGCATTTTCGTTTCAAGATTGAGTTGTTGTAATGAAAAACATCGTACAAAAAATATCGGATTTAAAATCTATGGCAAAATCAATAGCAATAACAGACAAAAGTATCGATAGAATCATGGCCTTAAAAAGCAAATACACAAATGCAGAATTTGAATTTCCCAAATTGTTTGAAATGTATCGAGATATTTAAAAATCATGTCAAAATCGATATGAATAACTTCCGAAAATACAATCAAAATATTACATCGATTTACGATACTATCGAAGTAAATTGAGGGCGCCAAAAAGTAATTGATTATCTTAAAGTATTAAACAAATTTTACGCGTAAATTTCTGGAGAAAACAAAACTTTCTGCAAGAACTCTGTAACGTTATGCGACAATGTCACTGCAATTCTGCTACTGGGCTAGAGAAAGTATCAAAACCAAGCGTCCCTGCTTTACAGAGTAATACAGAAGTCAAAAGGAGCCAAATGAAACACTTATTTAAACACAAATATGGAAATTATTCTTTTAACAATGGACCTAAAATAACTAAAACGAATTTTCACTATAATAAATAGTTAGATCTTATGAAGTGAACATAAGATATAAAGGAAAAAACATTAATATCTTATGAAATGTAAAAGAGTTTAGCTCATATAGTTTGTCTAAGCTAAGAACTCCCCCCATCACAAATTCTGAAGCCGTATGGTGCTTTGGAAATAAGAATGGCTCATTTTAGGGAAGGTAGCTTCACTCTAGAACTAATGCAATAGACCGACTAAAGTTACTCCCTTTCTCTCGACGACCCGAAACCGCTCCAAAACAGTGACCCCCGCACCCCTACTTGAAATAGTCACACCTCGTTACCATGGTCACCGCCACAGGTCCAGACGAATGTCTGGAGGAGTTCTTAATTTAGACAAACTATACATTACATTATTTATTTATTTTGCTTAAAACAAAATAAGTTCTTTGAAATATTACCTTGCACAGTAAATTGTGGTAAACTTTTGTACCAAGCATAGAGAAGGTAAAATCTTCAGGTTTGTTTACAATGAAAAGGATAACCAATCGAGTTTATAGTTTGTCTAAAATAAAAACTCCCTGGACCAGTGGCGGCGACTATGGTAACGAGGTAAGACTATTTCAAGTAAGAGTGCGGGGTCCTTGTTTTGGAGTGGTTTCGGGTCAGGTCCGCGAGAGAAAGGGAATCTCTTTGGTTTATTGTGTTAGTTCTAGAGTGAAGCTACCCTCCTTAAAATGCGCCATTCTTGTTTCCATAGCACCAGACGGCGTCAGACTTTGTGGCGGGAGGAGTTTTTACCGTAGACAAACTATACAGTGATATGATAGAAACAGCAATTTTCAATAGTTGCAGACATAATTTCTAATGATCAGTCCTATAATTTCAAAATAGTTTACAGAAATACATTTGCTTCATTTGGATTTACCATTGGAAACTTTTTCAAGATAAAAAATCGGATCAGCAGCCATCATATTACTGCATCTAAGAATCATCTCACAAAAGTATTTAATCACATTTAGATTTTAAATGTTTTGATTAAAAAATAATAATAATAAGATTTTAAAAATCATACCTTTATTAGCTGCAGGAGGCAGTTTAAATTTTTTCAAAAGTTTAGACAGCTGTTCCCTTATTTCTATTGCTCTCAACAAACCCTTGTAGTTCAAGAAATGTTGATCACACCAATATTTATTTTTATTCTAAAAAAAGTTTTCAAAAAAATTTTTTTTTAATATGTAGAAAAGCCACTCTGATAACAAAATTATAAAAATTAATATTTTTAAAGTAATCAATGGAGATTTTTTAAAAATAATAACTTTTTAGAATTATTGCTTGGGTCTTTAAAATCAACTCACTTCAGTAGGAAATTGTTTCCAATTTAATGTTAAAATTAGTTATATTATCACTAAACATACTGTTTAAGAACTTTTGCATCGAAAATGCGCTTATCGTTTTCGCACATTTGACTTCATCTAATTGTATACAGTTAATATTCTATTATTATTTACTTTTTGTATTTTGTTTGCTTCAAATAATTCTCGTCGTATACCTATTTCTACCACAACTGGTCATTTGACCGGGAGAACAATTTATTGCTTTATAAGGTGATCGGATCAAAAATTATGATGTAAAGCGGGTTCAACGTATTGCATTCGATGAGTTGCACATTTCTGAAAAGATTGTTACGTAGTTAGTTCAATCAAAATAACTCTGAATTCAAATTTCAAGAAAGCACATAAAATGTTAGGTGGGCATTTTTGTGCCAGAAAAAGTGACATAAACTAAATGTTTTAGTAAGTAGCTTATATTTTATTCTGATAGCTTTACTTCATTTCTAACTAACTGTTAGTTTTTACCCAGAAAAATGTTGAAGCAATCAAGGCTGCACAAATTCTTAGAAGAAATAATATTAATTGTAAGAAAAGTTATAAGAATTATAATTCTTATAATTATAAGAACTATAGAAATAACAATAATTGGAAGAAATATGTTTGCAGAAAATGTACAATGGAAGCTCTTTGTATATACAAAAAATGTATTGAGTGATGAAATAAAATTTTTTATTCTTTGTGTTTGTAATACATAAAAATTGGCAATAATATACAGTTTTGTTTAATTATAACGAAGTTTTTTTAGTTTATTTCCTTTCTAGCATCCATATTTCATACATTCAATCAAGAAATATTAAGTCTGGTCATTTGACCGGCTATGGTAAAAATAGGTATATATTAAGTGTTGGTGTGTTAATATGGAATATGTTTAGTGTTAATATGGACTGATCACAGAACAGGAAATTTAATTAAATTACCCAAAATATAATTTGAATTTAGAATACATAAGAGTTCAATATCGAAAGAGAGAAAAAAGTCAGTCAAAGTTATAAAAGTTATTTTCTAATGCTTGATTTTGATTCAAGCATTCATTATTGTATTCCAGTTACAGTACAATACATATTCACTATAGAAATTTATAAAATCAACAAAAGTTTGTGGGAACGAGGCATAGCATTCTCACATTTTTACAGAACCAAAGACAACATCAAAACAATCAGAAGATAAAAATAAAAAAATTTTATTTTCCGGAAAAATGATAGAGTCACAAAAGCTGCGTGACTAACTTAAAAATAAATTAAAATTCAAAATAGTATATAACAGAGTAGTAGTAGTTTTGTGGTTTTACAGACACATATATATACTGGAGAAAATGTGCGATGAATAATTACGACATCAGTATCCTGCAGTCAGTTGCAGTTAATTTCTGACAGCAGAAAGAATATCACGATGAGAGGTCGCAGGTTCGGTATTCCGATCCGCAGGTCTGATCTAGCGAACTCTACAAGTTTCCCCAAGTCAACCAAAAATTTACTCTTACTTTTGTATTTTAAATTTCAGTAATATAAAATAAATTTTATATAATAAAAAATATTTGCATTGAATTACATCACTTCACTGCTATTTAGTTGAATCATTTAATGTTATTTTCTGATTTATTTATTCAAGTAATATTTCTTATTTTTAAGTTTAATAGAGAAGTATTTTATAATATATTTTTTACGCATGAATATGGCATAACTAGACATTTATAATTAAATTTATGACATCAGTTACAAAAAAATCAGGAAAATTCAATAAAACTAATCTGGAAAATAAATCAGGGATTTTTTTTATTATTTTATTGTCTCCAGCCACCTTATAATGACAATGATCGAATGATTTGAATTTTCAGAAAAGGACTTAAGAAAACGGTTTTTCATTTCCTTCTTATGGGGGGAGGGGGGGAGGGGGAGGTTTTATGGTTTCAGAAAAATTTATGTTTTAACATATTTTTTTGTGGACATTATTTTTTTTAACTCTCAAATGTAAAATTTGTTTTAGGAAATGGAAGGAGAACTTAACTTTGAATTTGATGCAAGCAGTTGTAAAAAATAGAAGTTACAAACTTCAAAACAAAACATTTTACTTATTTTGCATAAAGATATTTAAGATTAAATTTGTTCCCACGAAATTTCGCTTATTATTTCTCGTTCCACAAAATTTCTTTTAAATATGTATTCAAACAAAGAATAATAATAACAGGATTTCTGGCAAAGTTTTGTATAAATTTTTTCTGGCTATTCAGACTTCATGCTAGAATACGCAGAAACAATTTTTTCTCTAATATTTATTTTTACATTTGCCAAACCAATAAGAGTATAAAAAATGTCTTATTCTTAACAATATAAAATATTTTAATACATAAGCCTCAGCAAGTAACATGAGAGATTACAGATTGCATAAAAGTATGATAAGACTACCTTTAGGAATGAGTTGTAGACATTAAGAAGTGTAAGAAAATCACCCTCTTCCACAGCAAATTTCATCTTTTTGCGTTTCTAAAAGAATACATAAAAAAACAATTGGGTTAAGACAGATAAAGCAAGAGCTAAAAAAATGGTAGTTTATAGCTAATATTTATAGCTAAGGTAGTTTATAGCTAAGTTTGTATTTCAGTCCATTTAGATTGGATTTTGAGTAATCTTTAAATTTTGAGGATCAAACTATTTAGTTATTATACTATGCTAATTAATTAGTAGAACAGACAAAAAATTGAGATACAAAATCAAACTTATGAATAAACTTTTTCTGAATAAACTTTCAAAATAATTGGATCTCCGATCGTAAGATATTGATATAAGATACAATCTATAAAACATGAGTTTATACTTGTTATGTCTTTACTTGAATTAAATTTGAGAAATTCAATTGCGTGACTTCTTCAGTTGACCTTGAGAATTTGGGGAACTGTTTCATTAGAAAACATGCAATTCAAAGAAATAAATTCTTAATTGCTGTTACCACTCACTGTAAATGAAATATTAATTACAGAGTAGACCAGCAGTTTCTCATTGAGCCATTATGAGAAAATAAAGAATGCAGTCAACATAAAATAACTTGAAAAAATTTGAAATGTAATAAAAAATATAAGACAGATTTATTTTCCTATAATGCAGTGTTTCCCAAACTTATGACTTTTGTGTACCCTTTCTAAATTTTTTGTAAAGCTGTGTACCACGAATAAAAAAAATGAATGTATTTTCAACTAGAAACAAAATTGCACAAAAATTAAAAATCACAACTGGCTGTTGACACCACTAATTATTAACTGTTAATTCTGCAAAAAAGTAGCCAATAGAAAAATACGTAATCCTAAATTTTCTTGGCTATCTTTGTTTTGAAATAAAAAATTTTTAAATTTTCGTTTGTTACAAGATATTTCGCATAAGAACGCGTACCCCCACTAAACTGTTCCTGTACCCCTGGGGGTACGTGTACCACACTTTGGGAAACACTGCTATAATGCATAGAAATTTTGGTCTGATTACACTCTTTTTTTTTTCTCAAGATAAACAATAAATTTTTGACATTTAGTACAGATTGCTCTTTTTTTTCTTCTTCTTTTCTGTAAATTAGTGAAAGTGTGTATTCACAAACACTGAT